TCTCCGGATCTCCCCCGCTGCGTCCGCCAGGCGGATTCCCTTCAGCATCGCCAGCCACATCGCCGCAGCAAGAGCGGCTCGGTGACGCCCCGCCATGCAGTGGACGATGACGACGTCTCCGTGATAGAGCGAGCGCCGCACCAGAAGCCACACCCTGTCCCAGTCCTCCTGCCGTCGGTCGGCGTGGGCGATGGCGAAGTACTCCACGTGAGCCCCGGACAAGGGCACACCTTGCCGCTGGGCCAGCCTCTCCGGGAAGCAAACCACCTGGAGGCTGCATGCTGGAAAGGCTGCGGCCGTGACTGCCGTGGGGATGCCCGCCAAAAAGAGGGCTCCTCCCCGCACGTTGTAGATCAGCGATGGGGTCTGGGCGGACTTCCCCCGCACGGTCGCCAACCGGTCCCATTTGCTGTCAGCTGGGTTCAAATCCAGGCACTCCGGGATCTCCAAGAAGTTGCCCGGGAGCTCGGCTGGTTCTGCCGGGCGCCTGGTATCCACCGAGGCAGGAACTTCGCCGATCTCCGCATCCTCGACCTCCACAACGCGGTTGGCTGCTGCGGCCTCGCGGAGCTCCTCGGCCGACGGTCTGGATGACATGGGCCCGGCCGGGGCGATTGGCAGCGGCGGTGGCAAAATCCTTCGGCGCTTCTGAGCCGGCGCCTCCGATGGCGCCCCTGCGGGGCGGGTCGCCCCCACCTCCACAGGGTCAGCCGGCACAGGCAGCCCCAGCTCGCGAAGCTTCGCCTCCGTCATACGCCGCTTTGCTCGGCACTCGCTTGCCGGGTGGCGTCCTCCACAAGCCCTGCCCGTCTGCTGCAGCATCGCGCACAAGTGCTCCCTTGCGCACGGGTCCTGGCGGCATTCGCCTGTGTTGAAGTCCGGGCACAACGCTGTGCCGTTCTTCAGATGCCCCGTGAGGAAGATCTCGCCCAGCCTGGCTGGCATGGCCCTGGCCGAGGGAGCCGGCTTTCTCATTCGCTCACGGGCGCTGTGCACGAGCGACTGGCTCAGGGAGAAACGCCGCTTCAGCGCCGTGGTCTGCGATGCCTGGGCCCAGATCACCTCTGTGTCCCCTCAGCAAGCCTGAGCGGCCTTGATCTTGGCCTCCTCATCGGCTTCGGCGACCTCCTCCTCGGTGACCGTCTCCCAGGCCTCGCAGTCCGCGACCTTGGCCGCCACGAGGAAGGCTCTCATCTTTGTACGCATGGACAAGGCGTACTTGCCGCCGCTGTAGTGGAACGGCATCGCGACACGCTCCTCGACCTTGTCCTGCCAGTCTCCCAGGGAAACGATCTCCGCGTCCTGAAGGCGGATCAAAGAGCCCACCGTCGGCAGCAATCTCCTCCAGGAATAGCTTGAGGTGCTCGAGGGGCTCCACCACGCCATGGAAGAGGTGCTGTCACGGGCAGGGGATCATCTGCGCACACAAATCTGGATCATCTGCACACACAGGCTTTCCTCACTTATTGCGCCATGCACACTGGATCATCTGCGCACACAAGGTTTCTGTCATCTGGCTCATCTGTACACACACACACTTTTGGCAGGGTGGGGGGGTGGGGGGGGGGGGATTGGTAAGCACACCCGCTCAAGTGCGCCCGCTCAGCACTGTGGGGGGGGGGGGTGGTGGGGGGGAGGGGGGAATGGTAAGCACACCCGCTCAAGTGCACCCGCTCAGCGCTGTTTCCACGCATGCGGAAGAGTAGCCCGAAGGGGTGGGGGGTGGGTGGGGAGGCGGGGGAATGGTAAGCACATGCCTGCCACCTAATAAGCATACCCGCTCACGTGCAACAGATGGGGTGCGGTATTGGGGAAGGGTGGGGTGGGGGTGGGGGCTGGGGCGGGGCGTGGGGCACACCCGCTCACGCGCGTCCGCCTAGCGCTGCATCCACGCTTACCACCTAATAAGCACACCCGCTCACGCGCGCCCGCCCAGCGCTGCACGCATGCCTGCCCTCAGGGCGGGCTGGGCTGGGGTCAGGCTTTGGGGAGGTTGGGGTGGGGTGGGGCACACCCGCTCACACACGCCCGCCCAGCACTGCGCACGCCTGCCACCTAGCAAGCGCACCCGCTCACGCGTAACAGATGGGGTGGGGTATTGGGGAGGGGGGGTGGGGTGGGGGTGGGGGTGGGGGTGGGGGTGGGGGTTGGGTCCGGGGTGGGGCACCTGCTCACGCGCGCTCGCGCAGCACTGCATTCACGCCTCCCACCTAAAAAGCGCACCCGCTCACGTGCACCCGCCCAGCACTGCGTGCATGCCTGCTACCTAGCGCGCAACAGACGGGGTGGGGTCTTGGGGAGGGCTGGGCGGGGGGGGGGGTTGGGGTGGGGTGGGGTGGGGCACAGCCGCTCACGCGCGCCCGCCCAGCACTGCATCCACGCCTACCACCTAGTAGCCACGCTGCACAGATGCCTGCCACCTAGTAAGCGCACCCGCTGACGTGCAGCAGATGAGGGTGGGGTGGGGTGGGGGGGGCGTGGGGGTGGGCTTGGGGTGACACCTGCCCGTAGACCAAGCGAAGCCGGGCGAAAGTCTGTCCCCCTGATTTACACACGAAGTGCAAGAGACTTGTCAAACCTTTAATGCAAGAACATATACACCACATTCTTTACCCCGAACAAAATTGAGAGCGGCTGACAGAGGTAAACCGCACAGGAGACAACGGAACACAACATTTCCTATGTTCATACGACAGAAAGGCAAGGAAACATGCAGCTGTCAACGCCCCTGTCCCTTCTTGTGCATAGCAGTAAGCACTGCGTGTACAAACGATCCGGGGCAAAAAAGGCCCGCGTGCAGAGACGATCCGGTCCCGCGTGTACAGACGATCCGAATTCCGCGTGTACAGACGATGCACTGACCTGCTGTCACTCTCTGCACCTCCCGGATGGGCCACGCCTGGCCAGAGGCTGGGTGAAAGCAGATGCCGCACTTGTCGTGCTGAGCTGGTGCACACCAGTCGAATCCTTGCCGGTTATGGGACTGCTTCCCTTTGCGGCAGTGGCCGTGGAAGAACTCCCTGCTGATCTTCACCGGCGTGGACAAGCACAGGTGCTTGTAGCGCAGGCAACCCGAAGCCACGAGCCACGACGACAGCGCTGCTGTCCAAGCTGGATCTCGGGCTTGCTGCATCTCGATGATCCGGCCCTCCAGGGTGACACCACGGCCTGGGACCTCGCCTTGCGCACCTTCCCAATAACTTTGGGGGGCTTCAGGCGGTCCAGCTGCCACTGCAACCTGCCGTTGTTGGACAGCCAGCGCAATGACTGCAGCGCTCGCGATGGCGACATAGCCTGCTCAAGGAAGGCGTGAAAGTCCAACTCCTCCGGGTCCTGCACGCCCCTGGCTGCCAGGAAGAGCGAGAGCTCCTGGAACGTCCTCACCGCGTTCAGGATCGTGGTCGCCTCGGACTGGGTGACTCGCTCCTGAGCCAGCCTCCGAACCGCCTGCTGCCAGTCGGCGTAGCGATCCGGGTTGTCGTACCTCCGGGGCCGAAGGACTCCCAGCTTCATGAAGGCCTCCGTCAGCAGGTTGACCCTGCGGCCCACTGCTTCGGCGTTGTCCGGGTTCTGCCTCAACCGCAGGCCCACGTTGCTGGTGGGGAGCCGCACCGCCGGCCGACGGAGGGTCGATGGCCCCACCGGCGTCACTCGCCAGGGGTCCGCCTCCACCACTGCCGCGCCTGCCGGGAGGAGGTGGGCCTGTTGCTCCGCCCGCACCCCATTCAGCGGCGACGAAGTGGCCACCCGCGCGGACCGCATCCTCGAAGGCCTCAAAGGCGAAGCCGAAGTCGGAGTCCTGCAGCAGCCCGTGCTTCTGCCGAAAGGCTCGAACATTGGCCTCCTGGACACGAGACATCAGCCCTTCGCCAGAACCGCCCGGGTCGCCCCCGGAGTGCTCCATGGCTTCAGTGGCATAGCGCCCAGGAGTGGCATCACCGCGAAACGCCATGGCTAAGAGCAGCGCCCCCCAGCGTAGAGCCTTGGCAGCAGCGGATGGGGCAGGCTTCGCATTGATGGATGCCACATGAAGCGCACACAGTGAGTCCTGCTTCCGCAGTAGGCGCAAAGCCCGCCCAGAGGGAGGTTCCTCCTGCCCTCGTCCAGCCACCCACGGAGAAGCCTCCCCGCTGTGGCTCTGGCCAGGGAGTCGCTCTCCCTGGGCCATGGCTCGGTCCACCTCCGAGCGCCCAAGCTCCATCTCCTCCAGGTCCCCATGAAGCCCCTGAAGGACACGAAGGGGAGGTCGCCAGATTCCACCCGGCCCGCAATGGCGGAGACATACATCGGGATGATGTCCTGGGCACGGAGGCCACTGCCTGCTTCAGCCACCATGGCCTCAGACAGGCGATCCTCCTCATAGCACCCATGGTAGGCGGCCCAAGCCTCCTCTGCAGATGCACCTTCTTGAACCAAGACTGCACGCCGGCACCAGGTGCCAATGAACGGGAACTTGAAGCCGCCAAGGGACCCGTCACATCTCGCACACTGGGCATCAATGCAGGGTGCAAATTGCAGGTGGGGTATCTCCCCACTATCAACCAAGGGCAGGGGAGCTTGCACGAAAGGGGCATGCAAAACTTCCACAGCCGAAAGCCAGAGCATCCGGGCCTCGCCATGCTTCCCCTGCTCCAGCAAGTTGCCCACATGGCGCTTGAAGTCGAGGTAGGCGCCTGTGGACAGGATAGGACGATCCGTGTGCACGGCAAAGTCAACTCCTGGAACTGCCAACATTCGACAAGTAACACTTGCCGAACCCGCAAACCAGAAGTTAAAATTTAGCCAGTTTGGATCATGCTTGAGCCAAAAGGCCCCGCATGATCCAATACACTCCTTGCAGAATGAAGCCTGTAAACCCAAGCCTTCCAACCTGATACAGGATTAAGAAGAGCCACGAGCCTCTTTTGTTCCTTGATCCGGGCCAACACAGTATCAAGGCACAACGCGCACAATGCGACAACCGCGGCGTGAACAGCATCCTTTTCAAGAAGCAGAGTCGCCCAGCCCCTCTCAGCTCCTCGATCTCGTTATCATAGCTGCCGCCTGCGGGCAAGCAACTCTTCTGCCGGGCCTTGCTTATTTGAGGCCCATGGAGCTTCATGCGAGAAGGCTCGGGCATCTGAGCGCTTCTCGTAGCCCAGGCGAGGTTTAAGCAATGGAAGCAAAATGCAAGCAGCTGCTCAGTGGCACGGCCTCCAGCTTCCCGCAGGGCGTTTCAGATCGGAGGCAAAAAGGCGGCGGAGCAACGCCACGGCTTCCAGCAGCACATGCATGACAGCGAAAGCAGGGCAACTTCTTTTGCTAGAAGTGCGGTCAGTAAGGTTTTGAAAAGCATTGGAAGCGCTGCAAGGCGGATTGGTTGCAGCCTTTCTGCATTTTCTGGCGCCGAAACCTACATTTGCTTAAGTCCCCCCGCGAAAAGGATAACATTTCCACGAGCGATAGATGCCCTTGAAAACCAACGGGAGACAGAAAAAATAGTCTTCTGCCAATGGAAGGGCCGAAGAAACGAAACACTGGCATTGTTTCCCTAACAAATTGTCACGTCTTTTTGTGCTGCCCTTTGGGGCTGTTCAAAGATTATTGTGTTAGTTTTGTTTCAAAGCCGAAGAGCACTTCTGTAGTTGCTTGACTTCAGGCAGCTACGAAAAGCACAGGGCATCGAAGCGATGGAGGCAAAATGAAAGCAGCTCGTCAGCAGCACGGCCTCCAAAGCGGGTTGCTCAGTTTCACATCGCTGTTTTGAGGGTGGGCAAAAGAGGCGATTGAGCAAAGCCGCGGCTTCCAGCCCCACATGCATGACACTGTACACTCTCAATGCGACCAGTAAGGTCGTGAATGCAACTAGAGGCGCTGCCGGGCGGATTGGCACTATTTCCATGTACTTCCTGGAGCTGCCAGAACATGACTCAATTTGAGCAAACCAAACACGGACAGTTGATTTCTGGCGCCTAGGAGCGCTTCTTGAATTTTTTAGCTTCCACCAACCATGCTTCCATCAGCCGAATCGCAAGTTCGCGCATTGGTGTTGATAGGCCAGAAACACGACTTGTAGACTACCTCACTTGTAACAACTAGAATGGTCTTCCTAGGACTAGAATGGTCTTCCCAAAAGATTCAAAGTTCAGGAACTCAGGAAGTGAGCTACCCCACTATGTACGTTTGTCTCTAAATGGACCCGACCCCCCCCCCCCCCGGCAAAAAACGGTGTTTTCCCTTTAATTATTTTAATCACATTATCAAACACGCGCCCACCAAAAGAACACATGAGGCACTCATGTCTGCGGTGTTTGGCTTAGTTGGCTGGCTCGCTTCAGTTTTACCGCGGAGTGTTTGGATCCCTCTGAAGGGCCGCGGCTTTTCTTTTGCGAGAAAATGCCGCCGTTCTTCGAGGGTTTTTTTTGAGGCCAAGCGGAGGAGAGTGCCATCTAATAGCGAAGCAAAGAAAGCATTCTAATGACGAAAAGAAAACACATAATGGCGAAGGAGAGGGGGCCTAATAACGAATATCAAGAGACATACAGCAAGAGCGAGTTGGGTGCTTCCAATGATGCGTGAGGTACATGAACCAGGAATCCCGAACAATTTGCTGGAGCTGGAAATCAGAAACACCGTCAGTCTCACATTGATCAGACCGGTGGAAGGGGACATTCCTCTAAGCTTCCGTGTGAGTCTACGGGAGTCCCTTGAAAAACACATTTAAAACCAGCGTCCTGTGTTGGAAACCCGCCAAAAAAAGGGAGCAAACAACCAGAAGGGTCCATCAGTAAGACTTCAGTGGACGAGTAGCGCCGTTTACCATAAACATCACGAAACATCCGCCGCCCATCATGTCTAAACTTTTCCATATCCACACCATACAGTATCCACCTCCTTGGCCGGCTCCGGGTCATGGGGCAATGCCTTCAAATGCAACCGGCCACTGTCCAAGCCCAAAGGTCGGTTGAGAGCCCGTCCTGAAGACTCCGGTTTCGACGGCGAGGTGGTCATATTCCTGGCAGATCAGCTTCTGGGAAACAAGGGTCAACTGCTGTACGGCGGTTCGGACTTAAATAACTAGCTTCCGGGTTGTGGGGTATGTTCAAACCAGTTTTACTCAGGCCCGCTGTGAAGGCCTACAATTGCCATGGACGGGATCGAGCAAGCTTGCTTGGGGTCGTAGAATGCTATGAATCTAGCGACGGGGGAGAGACACAGATCTGCTTTTGGATTCATTTTTATGCCTCCCAAAATTGACACGCCCCGCTCCACCTGGATGCGTCTCCTTTTGTTTGCAGGAAGCATGGCAAAGCATGAGGTGATAAACACGTATGCTTCAAACTCGCGAAATGGAATGCAACCAAAATCAAACTGGGCTGGTCTCGTCGACATGTTTGAGTAAACGAGATATACAAAACACATGACCCCCCAAAACCAAAATCAGCCCTTGCGCACTGGTTTCCCAGTTTTGGGATTTAAAAGCAATCCTAAGGTCCCGGTAGTTCAGACAACGCCAACCCGAGCGAGGCATCCCTCTTGGCGAAAAACTCGCATACGACAGCCTCCGCCTGCCTGCGCCCGAATGCAGCGGGCGAATTATCTGCTCAGATACGGTCGCGCGTCTTCAAGTCAAACCCTGGTACGTGAAAAATAAGTTGATAACAAAAGACATGAAGTGTGAACAAATGATATCTGCAAACACCGCCCAAAGCTGTGTTCCTGTCAATGTAACTTTTCAACGAAGGTGCTTCATGCCAGTTGGTGCCTCAGATCCCAGCTCAACTTGTTGATCTTCTGCAGCGGTTAGCTCACAAAGAGCAGCTTGAGCAGGAATGCACCAGCCGCCAAACTCAAGGTGGGTCAGGGTAAACAACTGAGATGTGTCATGCCCCAGAAATCAAGCTCTGCAGCACCAAGTTTTGTAATTGTCACCACACTTGCCCCTCACAAGCTGACGCGTCCTTCAGGTGCATGTGGGTCGTGCATGTGTGTCCCGCAAGGGAAAATTCGAGTGGACTGGATTGTTGTTTGATTGGGAAAACCAACTGGAACAAGGGCAAAGCAAGAGGGCGCCCCGCCAAACGCGCTCCGCCCAGTTTATGCCCACGTGAGCATGCGTTGTGGCGGTTGGGGGGATGTGGAGGCGTGCACCTGAGCGATCGAGTCAATCCCGCTCCGTTAACGGAGCAGCAACAAGATGCTGCGATCGACTTGGCATGACCCATTCTGCCACGTCACCCGGCTGCACCACAAACCCCAGTGAAAAAAAAACATGCAACACAAAACATGGAAGCCTTTTGTGCCTGGACCTTGCGTGGGCACTTTTTTTGGGACACTCCGCCTAAATCCGCTTGTTTCGCGGAAAAGTGTTCGTTGCAACAAAACAAACTGTCTGTGTCGTAGTTTGTCATTCCGATGTAACCCAAAACAGCAAAAAATATTGCGCCGCTTCCGCATGCTTTGGCTGAAACACTGAGAACTGGCTTGCCTGCAGCTGCCTGGTTATTGAAACTTGCGATTGCGCAAGGGACCTTACTTTCTACCAATGAACTATCCTTTACAGAAAACATGTTTGTGAGAAGCCTTGCGGCTTTGCTAGCAGCATCCTCTTTTGCTACGCAGCTACATGACAAGTGTGTAAGAACAAGCGGACCTTCAACCAGGAGCTGCTTACACAAAGTGGAAGCAACAAAGCTGTTGCAAAGGGCCGCAAACGCCAGTCCCAGTAGTCCCCGTAGACCACGCTTGCAACGCGTGTTGCACGCCCCCGTAAGAGTTGACCCTGTAAGAACTAAAAACCGGTTTTTCCAAAACTCTTGTCAAAGGCACATAGTTTGGCAAGTTTGAGTCTGCAGCTTTCAAGGGGGCCGATACACAGCTCCAGGGACTGTTTAGCCGAGAACGGCCGAGATGCTTATAGACAAGGGTAAGAAAGCACGCATTCCACACAGCGCATAGCTTCCCAAAATCCAAGTTCCAACGACGACAAGAACCATAGACACCAGGCATTATTGGAATCCGTGTTTCCGTCCGTTTCCCGCCGTTGTTTTCCGTCCGTTTCCCGTTGTCCTAAGTCAGGCACATTTTGCAACATGGTGCGAGAAAACAAGGTGGGCGAAGGTCTGTCAGGCTCTTAAGAAAACAATCAAAGTTTTGGTGGATGTTGAGTTTCTTGCAGAGGTTGGCAAACCAACTTGCACCAGGTCTTCCAAGCACTTGAATGTCGCCCAACCCAGGATCACACCAAAGCGAAACTCACACTAAGGCCATCTGGTCCAAAAGTCACAGGGAAGTAATTATGCAACATATGGCGCAAACACCCTGCAGCGTGAAGTCCAAAAACTGAGCAAGTGCGTCAAGTTCGAACTCATCCCGCGCTCTACATCATGAAGCTGACAGTGTGTACCTTTAAGGGAATTCCCTCACCAAAAGGGTGGCTTCCATGTAAATTTTGATGCTTCACCCAACTTTCCCCATCCCCCTAAGTATTTTGTTAAAACGCAGGGACGTACCTCCATGGTGCAAGTCACACAAGTGCAACGCTTTGTTGGTTCTATTTGGTTCTGCAACAGTTTCTTGGTTCATTTTGCTTTTTATCAGACAAGAAGCAGACTCCTATTGTCAAAAGGGTATTTGTCCAACGGGTTGGTTTCCCGCGTTCTTTTCAAGAGAACAACAACAAAGCCAGTTGCATGCTTTGCAGATAGCCTTACGAAGCACATGGTTTCTTCGGCATTGCATCAGGTTTTGCAGACTGGAACTTGGACGCTGGTACATGATCCGCACTTTGTGAGCGCAAAGAAGAAGAAGAGCAAGGGCGGACGCAACCTACATCTGCGGCAAGAGTCTTTGGGGCATGTGAATGAATTTAGGATCAGCCTCCGATGTGTCTCGCATCCATACGTGTGACTGCTTCTAAGGAGCATGAGCTTGTGTGGTTTGGACATGTGTGAATATCCGGTGGATGGCATTTTGGTCCAAAGGGATCCCTTCAGCCAACATTCGCTTTTCATGCAGAGCATGGCGACGTGTGAGTGAAAGTGTGCTTGAGCGCGCTTCGGGAGCTTGAGGGTTCCCCGGCTTCCGCAGCTGAATCAACCCACCTTGTAATTACCTTACTCATTGTCAGCCTCTCAATGACGCTGAGCAACTCAAGTGAGGCATACTTCTTCTCAGTGAGTCCCAAACCACTGGTGTTTGCTTGACCTTTCTGAACCACGTCATACAAGCTCTTTGCATCTGTGATCATGATGCCAACGACCTTGCTGCACGTGGCCTCTGGGGATCGGGGGTCGATCTCATGCCCAATCATCTCGGCCCATTCCAAACGACAGAACATCAGTTCCTCTTCTCCTTCACCGAAGGCTTGCACCTCTGCCGATAAACTGGACCTTGCTACGCGTCGCAGTTTCATCGACCGCCACGAGATGAAGTTGAGCTTCGCTCGCTGACGTTCCTTGCTGCTGGCGCCACAAAACGTTGAGCATATACCTCACGCACAAGTTTGTTAGCGTCTAACAAGGTCTGAACATCGGCTGTCGACACACGCGATTGAAGTTGACCCAACTTAGCACAGCACGCCATTGAACTGCGCCAAGCACTGCCCGCAATTGATCTCGTTCTCCTGCCGAGATAGGCCTGTTCATCTCCTTGGAGTCCAGCTAAATGGGATTGACTGAAGTGCAAAACGTCGAGTGGTCCAAAGTGACCTCCTGCGAAGCATCTTGCTGCAACAGAACACCACAATGCTCAAAAGAATCGCACTCCCAAGGTGACCACCGATATGCGCATCTGAAGCGATAAAGAAAATCCGTCCAAGCTGCATCTGCCTGATCCCCAATCATATAAAAATCGTCGACATGACTCGCAATCAGTCCAACGACCTTGTTCGTAGTTGGGCACCTGATCCTCCAGCAACATGGCTCTGCTTTCAAAACTTCACCGCCTAGGCGTATGATCGTGGCCTTGATCTCCTGGAACCATTGAAACGGGGCATTGACCAAACCATAACAAGATTTAATCACCTGAACCGCGCGTTTCCGTTCCACACCCATTGCGTCTGCCAGCTCATCCACCGGGACTGCAAAAACACTTCGGCTCTCCTCAGTGTTCTCCGACGTCTGAAGAAAAGCGCTCTTCGCATCGCCTTTCCATTGCTGCCAGCCTGTAACCGCCGCCATGGTCATCATGAGCTGAGGGGCACGCCTCGTCATCGTGGGAGATGCCCGCTGAAGCGTGTCCAGATCAGGATCAGTGAACCCAACGATCACAATGCGAGCCTTCGCAGCACCTGATTGCTTGAAGGTAAAAACCCAACGCATCTTCATGGTTCTCGAACGCGGTGCAACCTTGCCATCTTCTAAAGCGTTAAGGCATGTCGCACTGCTCCTAGCTTGAACCCAAACATGAAACCTCAAAAGAACAAAGCTCGTCCGAAGCGGCCGCAGTTCTTTTTACCGGGATTGCTGAAAGTTGCACTGCTTCCAGGGCACTAGTGCGCCTGGAACAGGAGGCACATTGACCCCCCCTTCAGTGTTTCAGGCAACCCCGGTAAAAGCGAACCAGCTGGGCCGAAGGCCTCATCACCCGCCCTTCAGAGTGGGGTTGTACCTGGCAGGGCAGATGCTAGGGTCACCATGCACGCTGGGTTGTGAACAGCTTGGCATGCGGTGACTGCACTTTTTCCTGGTCAGAGCGGCTTGTGTAAGCGGCTGGCTGACATTGCCAGTTGTTCTGGCTGACAAGGCAACGGCAGATATGAGCTCAGAAGGCCAAGTCGGATGCAGGCTAGGCTGGCGCAGCGACGATGGAAGCTGCTGCCAAATGTTCCGGCGCCTGCATCGGACACAGTTGAATGCCTCGGCCCGACATCGCCAGGCTTGCAGGGCTGAAGCGTATGCGACTTTCAGGGCGATGGCTGAACCGGGCCAACCGACCTCTGCTGAGATCGTCTGCCCAATCATTGCACCTTCCTGGAACGTGCGTCGGCTGCAGCAGCACGTTGTGAGCGTGAGCCCAGAAGGCTGTTAATTGCACAAAGAGTTGCAACGGCCATGAGGTCGTGAACAGTTTGTTAAGGCTTGCTTCCGTGGCGGAATTATCTGTGCTGGAAGGCATGCTAAACGAGTAGCGCCCACCACCAATGTGGCTGTGGGTTGCTTGCAGCAGCGCTAACTGTGCAAGAGTTTCAAAGCATGCGATGTACCGCTGTGCTGGCTTGACAAGGCAAGGCCACACGGCTCTTATGTCTTGCATGTTCCAGGTCTCGGCGAACCACACCACTTGGGAGGATGTGATTGCCCAGCCCCCAATCCCCACCATATCATCTTCGGCACACGCGTCGGCGGCAGCCAGAGCTTGCAGCTGGCGTGGCCGCGCCAAAGGCTGAATGGGCGAGTGTCGAAAGCACGACGCCAGCCAAGTAAGGCACTGTTGGCTTGACTTGGAAAGGCTGGTGTATGGGTTGTTGGGGTCTGCGACGCGCACCCATGTGGGCTTGCTAGTGCCAGGCACTCGCGGAATGTCTTGAGGGCAATGCAAGGTGCGGCCTGAAATTTCCAAGATTTTGGAGCCCGCTGTGATCCACAAACCCGGCAGGCTGTGGCTAGTTTTGAGGTCCTTTGTCAAGG